CATGTTCTGGATTTTTGATGGAACTTGGCCTTGATCAAACAAAATTTATGCCTCAGTCAGCAATATTGCAGCTAAGTCTAAGTGGACTGTAATATTCCAGTATGGACCAGGAAAAGTAGCACACACAGAGGCGGGTTCATGGGGACCAAAGATCCAATTTGGAAGTCTTGACCTCAAATGGTGTCAGCCGAAAAATTGAAAAACACCCTTATAAGAAAACTCTGAACGAGTGACTGAAAACATGAGAAACACAGGGTCAGGATGACACACAATCACAGTCAAGACACGGAGCCTGACTAACCAATCTCCATTTGAATCAACTCCTTCAAGAAGAATAGGATACAGAGGACCAATTCTATTCCAGAATCCTCACTTTGTGATAATGGTGATTCAGTGCAGTTGTTTTATGAACTGCTTACCAAGAAGACTACCTTTCATGTCGACACCAATGGGTGCCAACATTTTGTATTTTTCTTGAAGCAGTCATAATATCCTTTCCAAAAGGGTTACCGTATTCGACGTAATCAGCACCCACGGCGATATCTGCTAATGTATTGGCTAGTGAACAATCCTGATTAGATCCCCATCCCATTGATAAATGTACAGAAGACCAATATATTCGCGTATAATACGCACTTGTGTGTTATATGCACCCTTAATAATGGGCGATTAAATTTTGGAATAATATATCTGTCGTATAGAAACATTTCAGGTTGTCAGCATAAAACACAAAATTCATCTTTCAACTCTAATTGTTTTTTTTCCCCAAAATAATATTCTAATAAGAGCCCCCTATTTCTAATTTTGAGAGCACCCTGGGCGCTTATTACGTTGAATACGGTATTTGTTCTAATGGCAACTGTATCTGAAAACAGGATCCAGTTTTACTTCCTCGCTATTTAGTGAGAATAGTTGCAACATTGCTGATGTGACATGACAACTTAACTCACTCAATATTATCATCTGAGTGTCTGATGGTAAGTCACACTGGCCTTTTCTTGTTTGTTCAACGCCACATTCGGCAATATTCCAGCTGTATGACAGCAGTCTGTAAATAATTGAGTCTGGACCAGACAATCCAGTAATTGATGTGAGCAACAATGCACAGTCAGGGACCACACACTCAACCATCCTGACCACCCGATACATCAAGTCGCCTCTTAAGACCAGCGTAGGTTGCTGGAGACCCACTCTAATTCAGAATACCCAAGGGGCCAGACTTCCAGGAAGTAGCTGTGACATAGAATGTAAGACACCCTATTAATACTAACTTTTACAGTTTATGGTATGTCTTGTAACAACATATGTCCTAGTCACAGAAACAGTGTTCAACAGGTTAGTGTTAATTACCAAGCTTGAGCTATGTACCCGGTACCAATTTAGCAAAGTTTTCCTTGTAAACCCTAAGATACATTATTTCTTACTGGAAATTTTTTAACACAGAGGGAAAACACAGTATTTTTAAGGTTCATGCTATGGTGATGGTGCAGGCTTTTGGAAAAAGGGATCAGATCCTATTAACCATTGCAGTCACATGCATGATCAGGATGTTGTTACATTTCATTTAGGGCAATTCCTGTAGCACAGTTTTAATGTAAGAAATTTTGGTCATTTTTACTAACTATTGCTGAATTGTTAAGTTTGTACTAAACTGGTCTTATGTAACCAACAGATCATCAATTTAGTACCAACAGATTCTGTACGACATTATTTATCAATATAAAAAGTTTGAATGGTCAAAATATTTAAGCAATTTGAAGATCATCTCTTCATCCAATTGTATTTATACAAATGATGAATAAAGTGCTTTATTTACTGTATACTATAGTTTGTCCATTAATGTAGAACCTTGCATTCTGATTGGTAGACCAGCAGTAACAAACCAATGTTTCATCACAACATAAGTTTGACTGCAATACAAGTGGAGTGTAACATTAATCAAACTATGTATGTAGTCAGCGATATGTTATTCACTGCTACAACAATATGATTATTAAGACTTTAAGATTGTTTAACGCTACTGAAAAACTATTGCAATAGTTGACAACTATGACAATACAATCAATACAGTGAAAATGGCCCCTATAGTCAGACCTAATCACAACATAGTGAGTACTGTTTTACTCAGCTTTTGGCAATAACATTATGCCAAGTCCAAGCCGACCAGTCATTGTTTTACGGCGTTAATGCTGAATGCCAGGTAGGTTTACAAGTACCATCTTTCAACGTCTTTTCATATGACATGGTTGATCACATGATCTTCATAACAAAATGGTAGTTCTGCTGAATAGCAACATTCTCTGGATCCACAGTAAGACGCCATGCCAATCATCAATTGTTAAAGAATTCACCAGAAACCACAAACACATTCATTAGCCTAGAAGCACATTTATTCACACAATCCAAAGTTGATGAAAACTGAACCCCTCAATACATGGATATCAAGAATGTGCCCAAAAGAATCCTGTAAAGGGAGACAACTTGACATGTGAACAACTTCCAGCCCTCGACAAAAACAGTCAATGTACCACAAGTGGCAGGCATTTACATCTTCAGCTTGGTACGCCTCCAGTGACGCCTCTTGGCGTTGTACCTGAAATAAAGATACATGCTTTGCATTATACAATGTTCAATCAACACACTTTAGAACAGAGCAGAAATATCTATGGACTAATGATAACAAAATTAAAAAAAGAAAGCTTTGCATCGTCAACGGATAAACAGAATAAGGACATTTGTCTTCCAATGAAAGCACATGGATTTCAAAGGAGTGCTGTTTTTAAATTACTACATTTCTGGTAACTATAACTCTTGCTTAGTTTCATAGCTAGACTAGTTAACATTCTGCATATGTTATCTGCTCAAACATACAAATTTGATCAGCAAATTTCTCCTTATGTTTCTGAATTCTATTCATGGAGGATCACTGCTTTACTGACATACAAAAAGGTTTGTTTGTTTCTTTGTTTTTTAAAACCGCCCTCAGCAATATTCCAGCTGTATGACTGCGGTCTGGAAATAATCCAGTGATTGACATCATGAACATAGATCTGTGCAATTGGGATATGACGACATGCATCAACCAAATCAGGGAGCCTGACCACCTGATACTGTTAGTCACCACTTACAACAAGCATAGTTGCCTTATACCGGTACTACAAAAAAGTAGGTGCTGCTTATGAACACAACTGGTTCTGAAAGATGACTTTTTCATTCAAGATACAGACTCAAACTGTTTCTACAATCTGTTACTTCTTCGCAAACCAACCCGATGTCCTAGCACCTGTCATTATTAGTATGACTTTCATTTACCTTATTGTGTTGCCAGTCTTCATTCTGACCCACTGGGGGATTGGCCTATTCTGTTTCATTTTCTTGGCCAGCTTCATCTTAATCCGGAAACTCTTATGGGCTCCCTGTAATGTAAACATAAAAAAATAAAACTTTCCTTCAACTTGTACTTCTGTTACCTAGTAACCATAGTAATTCTTTTTGTTTCATATATATAAAGTTATAAAATATGGGGGTCCTTGATGGTTATTACCATAGTATATAGTTTTGATGTATAAATCTTATCTCTTTTCAAGATGCCAAATTAAAGCCATGTGATGGTTATATGATAAGTCAATGCCATATCATGGTGATATATTAGATCAAACAGGAACTAAGCCTCATGTCAGTAAAGTTTTAGACATTGGGATTGTGTCCCTTGTGTAAGTCTGACATTGCCTTAGTGTATTCAATTCTTCATGTACTTTCCATTAACTGTTTTTATTAAAATATTAACAATTTGATTTGACATGCATGGTGGTGTTTATGTGATTTGTTTCGAACAAGTTAAATAAAATACACAAAATCTTTGGGCATGTTGAGCCTGTCTGCCGCCATCCCACTTTAAAGACTTCACACAACCACACCTGTGAATGGCTTCAATTCTTTTCTACTGACAGTTGATTGTCAAGTTTTAACATCCAAACGAATATGGACATAAGTTAACAAGTTAATGACATCTGCAGAAAATGCATGGATTTAAAACTTGCAAAATACCAGAGTTTGGTTCCCACCACTAGAATTATTTACGTCATATGCACAGAGAAATCATCTTGGATTCCATGGCGAAACTTTGATGAGAGTTTTCTGCACTATAGACTGAGACTACAGCATGCAGTCAGCTTTAAACATCGAACGGTAACATGATAAATGACCCCGATATACCTATTTTGACGGCTGCAGGGTAAACATTTACAAAACGGTGCATGGTCACCTACATCCAAATAACCAAACATATAAAGCAACGTCGACTCTACATTTCTCGAAAGTACCACCTGCAACGATGTAACAATGACTATATTTCAAACTATAAGTGGCCAAACACTGACTGAACGTCACCAATTTGAAACGCGGCTATGATAGTGTTCCGGTTTTCGTGTACACGACAAATGTGTTTATTTAAGAATCAAAACTTCATTAATTTGAAGCATCAGAAAACAATCTCTACTCAATCGCCATTAACTTCAATTCATAATATCCCCAAACATAATGTATATCTAAAACGTGACCAAAGACACCCTAAACAAAGCAATTGTTTCACACACCATTTTGAGCACCTTGCCAATATGGCCGATATTGTGAAAAGAGAGCGAGTGAAGGCACGCAGTGAATAATCTGACACACCAAATATTATCGGTTAAAATCCCAATTTTTATATCTGTAGAATTATAAGTCCAATAAACGATTCAAATTTTGTATTTAACCAAGATATTGCGGTATTAAGTATTTTCTGAATCTGAGTGCGGTATTGGATGGCAACGTGCGTAGGGATTTTAGTTTAATTGAAATGTATATATTTCGATCAACACCTGAATATGCTGATATGCTCATATTTTACTTTTATTGATAACATGGCCACTTCATTTTATTAATTTTTCGCAACTGTTTATACAAAATATAGCGTCATTGTCGGCGAACTATTTTGTTATGTGGATGTCGCATGGCGTCGTTTGATGTTGTTCGGTCATGGAATGGGGTAATGGAAACTGGTGGCTAATCTGTCATGAAACTGACACGGAAAGACCACGTTCGTGCAAGCATGCAATCAAAACAACATACAGTATAACAAGACAAAATGTTTTGCTTCGAACATAATCATTGTCAATTTCGACCTGTACTTTTAGCGTATGAAAACAGTACTATTTAGACGTTCAATGAAACAGCAGGTTGACAATATCTACAAATCTAGGTTATTTCAGGGTACACGTTACAAATAAGATTATGTTTTCTTCCTGTGCAATAATAAACCGAAGAGCTTATGTTAATGACAGCAAAAGTTATGTGATGAGTTACATCTATGTTTCTGAAAGTGTGAACATATTAACTTTCAAGGTATCACAGGGTCGGAATATATATTGAACTACCCTTGTAGGCCTAGTCTACTGCTGTATGTTTTAGACTGTAGGGAATCAAGCATTCTTAACTTGATAACCAATGTTGAGGATGTACAAACTGTAGCAAATGATTACTTTTAATTGAAATTTCATGCATCATGAGTTAAAGTAGAGTTTCTTTCATCCTTGTAAGCTCAGCCAATAATAGTTTATTTGTTAAGGCTAAAATGTTATGAGAATAATTATAGCATAGGTGTTCTTCCAAGCAGACATATAAAATGTTTGCACTGACTGAAAGGGAGAACTTTGGAATTCTTTTCTATTTCCAATGAACCTGTGATATTTAATTTATATTTTATACAATAACTATGTACCAGTACAATAGCAAGTCTTATACTCAGAGGAATCACAGATTTTCTGTCCCAAGTGAATGAATAATGTAAGCAGCAAGCCTTTAGCAATTAACGTCAAGCATCCATAAGGGCGTATAATCTGTAATCTTAAATTTTGAGTAGGTTTTACATTGTGAATTGTCATTTCAAGAGAGTATTAAATAACCATTGAAATGTTAACCCAAAAGAAACTTTATTGAAGTCAACCATTTTTGAGAGGACATATCAGATGTTTTCAATTTGTGACAACAATGAATGATGATGTCATGTATTGTCCTCAAGAGTGGAGCAATGTGACGCCATATCATTTCAACTGACCAGCCAATACTGAAGCTGTGCTAACGTGGAAAAGTTATTGAACTCATTCTTTCTATACCTATGGGTAACATATACATGATAATATTTCATATCTCACGTTTTTAGATCCCTGATATTGAAGGCACCTACAAAGACACCACACACACTGAACAATTCTTACACTTATGAGTGTTAAGTATCCGTGTGAAACTAGATTTATCTAATGGAGTGACATTGCATGTTGTATTGGAAGTGGTGAGACTATCGAAAACAATCCTCTGAAGATGTATCCGTCACGACAAGACACAGAATATGAATTTGACTTGGTAAGAATTATGCAGATCTGTTGATGAGTGATTACACATGTACATGTATGTCCGTCCATGTATGTCATCAGCCATCTATGGTTGTTGTATGAGGTGACTTAGTGAAGCTGGTGATAGGGCTCATTGACTTGGTTGATGGCATGTCATGATGTCCCATTGATATGGATTGTTGCTCATAATATCAATCACCCTATTGCCAGGCCCAGACCCAATTATTTACAGGTCGCCATCATATAGCTGGAATATTGCTGAATGCCGTATTTCACAACAAACGGATTTTGTTGGAGTCAAATGTCATTGAGACAATTTCATGATGATGGAAGGACATTCTTCACCAAAATAACATCATGTCGTCAGGCATTTTGGATAACAATCTCAGTCAGTGTCCTAGAAAGGAACCAATATGAAACTCTGTTTCATTTTCAAGTATCAATGTGTTGTTTGCCGATGTTGAGAAAAAAATATTCAGATTCAGTGAAACTGTACTGGGTGTTACTATATATATAGAGAGAGAAATATTCCAGCCATATCCTACCAGGGGACACCAGAAATGGGCTTCAATATGTTCACATATTGAACTCATGAGCAATCTCATTGAGATCAGATCTTATTTCTTGTTACCGACCATTTGGTATTCTGATGAGGGGGGCCCTGGGATTTTGTATTGAAACCAGATATTTTTTCAGCTACAGCACCAAAACCAGATATTTCTTTAATTAAGATTATAAGCCAAAGTATTTGCAAAAATGTCTGTAGTCACATTGCAACAATGAATTTTTTGTGGCAGACAATTTCTTTTTCTCCCAACAATATGAAGCATAATTTTCATGTCTGAACGACCTTTCATCCGACCAATTAGAGCAGTGCTTATCAGATCAGGAAAGTGACAGAACTTTGTCAAAATATTTTTCAAAACATAGTCTAATATGGAAGTCGCCAGTTTGAAACTTGTGCCAAATAGTTAAAGAAAGCAGCTTTCTGACTGGCTAATATCGATTTCTTGTCAGTCAATTGTTTGGTCAGTCAAAGTTTATGAAAGGTTGTTCTGATGTGACCTGCAATGGGATGTCGTCAGATCTTTTATAGTGGTAGCAAGAACTAAGATCTGATTTTCATGTGATTGACTCATGAGGGGAATCAAACCCAGGCCTTCAGCGTGACAAGCAAACACTTTAACTACTAGGCTTCAAACTACCCTCACAAATAATATGTGTGACTTAAGTATTATTCTACAATACAAACCTTTTGATAAATAATTTTGGTCAAGAATTATTTCAGATCTTTTATAGCAGTAGCAAGAATTAAGATCTGATTTTCATGTGATTGACTCATGAGGGGAACCAAACCCAGGCCTTCAGCGTGACAAGCAAACACTTTAACTACTAGGCTTCAAACTACCCTCACAAATATTATGTGTGAATAGTGTGATGTTGCGTGTAACATCAATCACTGGTTTGTCCAGACTCTATTATTTACAGGTCGTCATATCAGTTATCTGTAATCAGTTAGGTGAAATATTGCTGAGTGACACATATTTTTCTGTATTTTCTGACTAGTCTGTAAAACCAATTGTATCATCGATATAAGAAGGATATTTTCAATAGGACATCACTAGAACCAGAGAGCATGTTACTAAATACATGATGATTCATACTTATCAAAAGATATCTTAACCTCTTTATTGCAAAGGTTGATACACTCCTGACAAATAATCTGTGTCTTTCAAATTACCATGTTCATCATGGTTTCATTTAAATAAGTGTCATGTGATGTGATGAGTGTGACCTGGATTATGGATTAAGTGACTGCTCTGTGTATTGATTGATATTGAACAATAATCTCATGTGGATTAGGGAAGAAAGTTAGTGCACAGACTAGTCATATTCTCAGATTAATCTTTGTTTAAATAATTAATATAAGACCAAAGACGTATATAGATTCATATATACATGTTTGATAAAACAATAATTAAAAAAAACACAATTCTTGAACACTTGTTTCCATAAGTATTCATGCAAATACCTGGTTGAAAGGAAGTTTCAACATGGATTAAAGACGATGACAGTTTTGACACAGAAGTGATAAATCAACTGGCCCACAAACTCATGAAGTGGGCATCGTTCTTCAATTACTTTAAATATTTGATACCTATTTCCACAAAGTAATTACAGATTTCTATTAGCTCGTCTTTGACGTAGTGGGATGCGATCAACATCAGCTGCTATTGATCTGTTTCAGAACCCCTATGAAAGTTTCATGAAGAGGCACCTCCAGCACTACGGCTACTATACAGGTGAGTGCAATGACAATGTCAATTTCCAGAAATCAATCAAAATGGTATCATGGGCGCACCTGCCATGGTGCTTGCAGCGGAACATGTTTTGTGAGGTCGATTTGTTTCTGTATTTGGTGTGCTTGGATAAATAAACTAGTGGCTGAATTTGCGGATACAAACAATTGGGAGTCAAGTTTATATCCTGACTTTTGATTTCAGTTAAAATTAGTGCAAAGTAATTTGTACTGTTTGCTATGACAAAAACAACTGTCAATAAACTTCAGATACAAGTCCTTGGGTGAGTGAATGTTGTTTTAAGGTGTAGTCAGTAATATTCCAGCTACATCATGTTGGCTAATGTCTTCACAAGTGCCATATTCTATCTAATAAGCACCTCAATCTTAGAATAGGTCCCCAGCAACATACGCTGGTCGTGAGAGGCAGCCAAGTGGATTGTTTGGTCCAGACTCGGTGTTGACAGGTTGCTGTCATATTGTTAGAATATTGCTGAGTGTGCTGTTAAACAACAAATAACAGCAACGATTCACAAGAACATGTCAACCTCCCCCATCATCGTAGGTCATGGTCATGGTCATGTAGGCTTCCTTGTCAGCACCCCTTTGTTTTGTAACATACTCAAGTGCTTTTTGTGCTTGTTTCCATTACCTGGGGTTTACCTAGACCTGCTCAGAGGCCGATATTCGGCCCCAAGTCTGCAGCCAGTGTCAGTCAAAATTCCAAAATTGAAATTAAACATTTCCCAGTTTCTATCAGTATAGTTATAACTAATGTTATGGTCTGTAGAGGTAACTTGTATTTCACTGATAATAGGACCAATAAAGAAAAAAGAGGCTTTAATACTTAGTTTTACATTATTGAACTGAATGCAATGTTAAAATACTTTAACAAAACTTTAACACAATCCCAATTTTGAACAAAATACAGGTAATGTTTTTTTGGTAATTTGCCTGACATGGGCACAAGATTCCTAGATAAATCCATGCATTTCTCTTTGTGTATGTGTCCAGTATTCCATGTATTCCAGGAGTCTACTGGGATATACAATAACTCTTGATTCTCCTGGTTATTTCTTTGAAGAAGTTTAGCTTAATATATAATTAAATGTATTAAGATTCAGAGATATCAATGATCTGAGATCGTCAATAATGGCCAATATCCTGATTTACCCACCTGAACCACAAATAAAAGAAGCTGCCTCATCTGTGTCATACTTAATCTATGCATAAAGATTGAGACTGACAAAAAACTATCCATAAGATGACTGTGCCAAGAGGGATGACTTCAACTTTCCCTTTATGTATAGTAATGACATTATGACATTTTGTCGCTAGAAAAATCACTCAGTGGCCAAGTTGATATCTGATGCAATTCCCTACTATATGTTCCTGTGTTTGTTCAGGTGAATCCTTGACTTGCCTTTGCATGTGTTTGTGATGGGTGCCATTGCAACATGTTTTGTGAGCACCTGGTATCATCACTATTTGATAGTGATTCATAAACACATGCATTCGATTGTACAGTGGAGTTCAGATTTAGCATAAATATCTCATGGAAATTTGTTTTAGCTTTTGTGTTGATGATATTCATGTCTGCATTGAAGGTGTTGTCTCCCTTTGGTGTTATCTCGACATGTGAATTCAGATCATTGTGTTACTTTTTGGGCGATGAGGTGAAAGGGGTTTAACTTTACGTTCAAGAGTATTGTACTTATAGTGGTGCGTGCGTGCACGCTTGTACTAGTACGGAGATTTGTCGTTCTTATAGTGCTAGCACATACCATGTCACAGTATAACATACATACCTCACTCAGACACAGTGTACTGACTCCAAGCCAGCTAGTCCTTGTTTTATCCCCTTAATGCCGAGCGCCAGGCAAGGTAACAACAAGTACCACATTTTTTAAACATCTTTTGGAATGCCACTTCCACTCTCAGGTACACACTCTATTAGACCATGGAGGTGGTCTGCATCTGTTTACATATCTTTACTCTAAAAAGACATGTTAAGAAACATCTGTCTATCCAATAACAAGAAGCTTGTGAAGGCAGCCACAATATCACTGTCAGTTTAATGCAATAAGAGCTCATTAGTCCAGAAACCCTCCAATCTGGGCAATACCTGCTTCATGTATCTCAGTATAATTCAAGGGATACGTTAAATACAAATGATTTGTTAATCCTGATAGTTGGTAATCTGGGAGATTTCTGTTGGAATGGTATTGTCTAGATAAATAGGGTTTTACTATGCACAGTATTATTGATCATTACGATGCTATGAGGATGTTTTTTGTCGTAAATTGTTGAGTATGTAATGATGCAGCAGCTGTTTTTCATTACTGTTTTATACTCTTACTTTTACATATCACAAGAATTTAGAAACATCTATCTTGGAATTACATTGAAATAAGCATATCAATCATTTCAAAGATAATTGTTGTTTTTTTAAAAATGGTTATGTTTCTGATAGAATGACCAAGTTCTTTTACTGTTAGTGACCTACATATTGAATGCAAAATGTGAATAATGTGTACCTACCTTATATATCAGCTGGAAAAAATACATCGTAATACCCTCCTTTTAAAAGTCATGTACACTGGAGCCATTTATTTCTTGGTTCATAATGATAGAGAATGAACAAATTTACTTACCATTCTGTGTTGTCCATCCAAACAGACAGAGGTAGGAGGGGCTGGTCACAGCGTGGGTGTAATCCTCTCCACTTGTTAGTAACTAACCACGCTAACCCCCTGACTTGTAGAACGCATGGCTACTTCACATATTAGTTTATCATTATATGGGCACACCTGGAGGGATAGGGGAAATTTAGGCGACGGAATGGGGGTATATCTGACTCTTAGTCAATCAAACTCACTGGAAATCACTGATAAGATTAGTGAAGGACTTATTCAACATTGCATGTGGTCGGCGCTTGGTTGGAGCAGGGTCGTGGCCAGATTAGAGCTGATTAAGGACTTCGGTGGTACAGACTAAATTGGCAGCGAGTTACTGGAGTGTGAAATGCCACAATGGCTAGACCTATGCTAAATATCTTTGTATTGTGGTGATTTGGGGTTGCAGGATTACAAGCAGAGGAGCTCATGCATTGCTCATTGGTTTGAAGTCACCTGTGGAAATTGGTGCAGCTTGTTTGTGAATTGTTATTTTTTTATATCGTTGGATGTGTATTTTCGAGGGTGTTTGATAATGGAGGATTACCGTGATGTGGACTTGTCGTTTCGACCAAATGGAATGGATAAATCTCCACGTAAGATATTCTTTCTGGTTGCTTATGTTCAAGATATTTTTGTTTGTTAAATTTCAATGGGATTTGATATATTTTCATTGATTATTGTAAGGTTCTGATTTCTAAAATGAACTATCCCTTATTTCATTTTCTAATTTAAATACAGTTTTGTCTTTAATTACGTTCTTTACTATGATAACTATTTTCATTTTGTTGACAATACGAAACCGTAAATTTACATTTAATTAATTATAATGACTATTTGAACACATTGATTTTATCCCTCAAGTCTTTTCGATTAAGAATGACCAAAAATGGTTACCCAAACAGGGATATAACTTAGCACTAGCCTGGACTAATTGAATTAATGTTAAAGGTATGCTAAATGCTAGTAGAATTTCGAACATTTGGGGGTATTGCTATATGTTATCCCTATTCAGGCTAGTAGACTTTCTACCCCTGCCAAAGGTCCATGTATCTGCTCATTTTACATTATTAATAATTGAAAAGTGATAATATATATGTTTATAAACAATATGATTTTACAGAGGGTAAATCTTGTGACTGAGCACAGCAAACAACTTGACAAGACAAACCATGGTAGCTTGAGTACTTCAGTAGTTGGATGCCATTCTAATGTGAATTGGGGTCCAAGGAGAGTCAAACCTCACATGTTTGTTCCCTTTCAACATGATCACATCTGTAACTGGGAACGACCATTTCACTATATATAGAGAGAACACAAAAATTGCCAAATGGAATTTGGTATTGTTGAAATTTTGATTGAAAACAAATGCTTTAAACATGTAAAAAACATACATGTTCAGCCCAAATGAACACTAGATCACTTTAGATCTTCAAAAAAAGATGCTCACAGTTACTTTTGCCTGTATTTGTATATCATTCAGGAGTATTGAATCAGTCTGAGGCTTTAGCCATTAGTCCGAAGCCAGAGTCTAGTGAAATTATGTTCAGCCTAGTGAGCTCAGAAATATTAGTCAAATAACATGTATATTATATGATAACACTAAAATGTAGTGAAAATGATACTGAGAGCCAAGTTCAGGCTAGTAGTAGACACAAAGGTTTTTGGCACACACTGCTGAATTCAAACAATTTATTCATGCTATCTTTTCATAACTTCTATTTTGAGTACTCAGCTATTTTTAAGACATCTCATATCTCAGTTAAAAACCAGTTACTAACACAATTAGAAGAAACCAAATATGTGTAGAGTATACAGTAATTGCTTTTTATGATTCCATTTAATGTACCAAGATAACAGTAACGACAGTTATACTGAGTCAACTTCAAAGACTATCGATAGGGCGAGATAAGTTCCCTGCATACATGATCGGTCCCAAGTTGACTAAGGGCATTGTATCCACTCACTCTGCTACATCATAAAGGCTGGTGTTTAATAATACCCTTGGCCTGATCCTCTCATAATATAGGGACACTAATTATTGTTTATAACCTCCCCAATGCAGTAGTGCCAAGAGACCTACGACACTGTCTCGTGTAGGTGTAACACTTACAACAGGTTAAAGATAATGATATTTCAACAGGCAATCTGCCCATTATAAGCTTAGGCATGCATGCAATAGTTGCAGCTTGTCTTAAATATGGGGACAGTTTATGACAGTTTGTGTCAGAAGATTGTTTATCTAAACATGTTCATTACAAAGATTGTTTGTTTAGGGGTTTGATTTCCTTTTAGTGGAATTAACATACCAGAGCCGATTCATTATTTTTTTCTGTCATGGATATGGAGCTTCCAGCAAATGTAGGTTTTCTAAGCCAGATCAGTTAAATTTCTTTTCTACCTATTCCTTGGTGCAAACTTAGGACACAGGAGTCAAATTTGAATAAATGTTGATCTGTGTTGATTTCCTAAAAAAGACAAGAATAGCATTTTCATTTATTTTTTGGGCCAAATTAAGGGAGACATGTCCATGGTGATACAAAACTGATTTTGACAGCCCCTAAAAGACAAATTACTCCAAAAAATAGTTTAGAGATTTGTGTTCCTGTTTCATTTATATATGCTATACTGATTGTCCCAGTCTGTATTTACCACTGCATTCCCAATTATAGATATTATCACATTAGCAGTGTTTGAAATTATAAATGAAGGTCAGGGAGTGCTTGACATATATAACCTTGAGGTCAAGAACCAAAGTTTTAAGGGTCACCAGATTTAAAAACTGTATCTAAATACTTCATGGACCACAGGGCTTCCCTTAGTTTCCTAAAACTACAACAGATTTTCTCCCCAGGTATGTAAATATGGAAGTTTCATTAAATTAAATATGAGGTCATATTATATCCATTTCGTGCACAAAAAATGTAAAAATGTTTTAAAAAAATGAAGTGATTTTGAAAAACAAAAAAATAATTATATTAACTGGATAAATAAGTTGAATATGTTCAGAACTATTTAATAGAATATACTGCTATTTAATCACTGTCTTTACCCTTAACCATTTTTATCCCCCGCCAGGCCAGAATGGCCGAAGGGGGATTGTGTTGTGGTGCAGTCCGTCCGTCTGTCTGTCCGTCTGTCCATCCCACAGAGGGTACTAAGCTTGTGAAATCAACTCCTCCTACAGTTTCCAGAGAATATCCCTGACACTCTACACACAAGATGTCGACATGTTGATGATACGCATATCGCAGTCCCATTTCATTTCGACTAATTTTGACAGAGTTACTGCCCCTGTTTTACGGAGCTTCATTTGCCTAATTATGAGAGAGGGTACTAAGCTTGTGAAATCAACTCCTCCTACAGTTTCCAGAGAATATCCCTGACACTCTACACACAAGATGTCGACATGTTGATGATACGCATATCGCAGTCCCATTTCAATTCGACTAATTTTGACAGAGTTACTGCACCTGTTTTACAGAGCTTCATTTGCCTAATTATGAGAGAGGGTACTAAGCTTGTGAAATCAACTCCTCCTACAGTTTCTAGAGAATATCCCTGACACTTGACACACAAGATGTCGACATGTTGATGATACGCATATCGCAGTCCCATTTCAATTCGACTAATTTTGACAGAGTTACTGCACCTGTTTTACGGAGCTTCATTCGCCTAATTATGAGAGAGGGTACTAAGCTTGTGAAATCAACTCCTCCTACAGTTTCCAGAGAATATCCCTGACACTCTACACACAAGATGTCGACATGTTGATGATACGCATATCGCAGTCCCATTTCATTTCGACTCATTTTGACAGAGTTACTGCCCCTGTTTTACGGAGCTTCATTTGCCTAATAGTGAGAGAGGGTACTAAGCTTGTGAAATCAACTCCTCCTACAGTTTCTAGAGAATATCCCTGACACTCTACACACAAGATGTTGACATGTTGATGATACGCATATCGCAACCAGTTTCATTTCGACTCATTTTGACAGAGTTACTGCCCCTGTTTTACGGAGCTTCATTTGCCTAATTGTGAGAGAGGTACTAAGCTTGTGAAATCAACTCCTCCTCCAGCTTTTAAAGAATATCCCTGACACTCTACACACAAGATGTCGACATGTTGATGATACGCATATCGCAGTCCCGTTTCATTTTGATAAATTTTGACAGAGTTACTGCCCCCGTTTTAAGGAACTTCATAAAATCTACTCCTCCTCCAGTTTACAGAGAATATCCCTGACACTCTACACACGATGTCGACATGTTGATGATATATGGCAGTCCCGTTCATTTCGACAATTTTTGACAGAGTTACTGCCACTGTTTTACGGAGCTTCATTTGCCTAATAGTGAGAGAGGGTACTAATCTTGTGAAATCAACTCCTCCTACAGTTAAAATGTGCACATGTTTAATATATCCATATCACAGTCACGTTTCATTTCTTTTCATGTTGAGAGAGTTACTGCCCTTGGTTTATGAAGCCCGATTTGCACAACTGTGAGAGAGGGTACTGTTTTTGTGATGTCAACTCCTACATTTTTCAGGGAATATCCCTGACGCTCTAAACACATGTCGCTCTGCACACAATGTGTTATTGATACACATGTTGCAGTCGTTATAAATTTGATTTATTTTAATAGAGATACTACCCTGGTTTATGATCCTCATTTTTGTCAACTGATACAGGTACAACTTTGCCTCAGGTAACAACCATTATAAAACAATATCATTTAGTCACTGTTGTGAAAATGTCACAATATCCAACTATAGTTAGTTTCCTTGTATAAGGCTTTTGTGGGTGAGCTACATCCTTATGGCATTAGCATTCAGACTGGATTACTCCCAACAAAATGTTCTGCAAAATTTGTCTCAAATGTAGTGCCATCTACTGTTGTTATTTCATAAAATACAAAGAAAATGTAAACTCATTAAAAAAATTCATGCGGGGGATGTTGTGCTTTCAGAGCACTCTTGTTACTTACTACCCAGTGATTGATAGATGTGGGTCATTAGCCATTATGATAATGACAACACGTCTATTTCAGGGAGCATGAAATAGGTGACATTTTAAGCAAACATTCCACACAACACTGCACATCCATTCAACTCTAAATAGAAATATATATGACATACTATGCAACAACAATAGGCAGGTGTAGGTTAATAATTGTTATCATATTGACAACACACCTGTTTCAATAGCATGAAACATGTGAGAATTGAAACAGGAAGATTATTTGTCTCAAACAGGTAACTGACACAATAAATTGCAATGTCTGTCAGGGTAATCATTGTACTTGACACCGGAGCAACTCCCTAGCTTATCAGGTGTTGTTAATATTGGTAACGTCATGACTACAGTCACAAACAGTAACTCTTGTGTCGTACGCTTCATTACCTGTGTTAATAACAGGAAGGCAGTCAGTCATGATCATTGGTAATGGTGCTAGTCATAGTTGATCCTGCACAACTGTGTGTGTGAGTGAGTGAGTGAGTGAGTGAGTTGGGTTTAACGCTGCTTTGAACAGCATTCCAGTTATATCCCAGCATATCAGGTTCATGTGGGAGAAAAGCCTGAAGTAATGCAAGTCTTAGACGTTTACAACTTTGGTGAAACCCACGACTGCTGGTGCTGACAAACCTAGGATTATAATCAAGGCAAATGGGAATTTGAACCCATGATCATAGGTTTCTGGCGTGCCCAATGGACGCAACTGCACACAAATAGCAGCGCATTAGACGACTGGGCCACCTCAACTGTGTACAAAATACCATTCTCCTGTGGCTAGAACCATTTATTGGGACAGGTTGAATTTATTCCTATGTGACCTGTCGACTATCGTGTAGTAAATTTCTTTGCTACACTGACGATTTGAATCATTTATTCATTGATATGTGACTCACTTACCTGAGAGCATGAGCTACTTTGTCATTATAAAGCTGTAAATGTTAAAGGCAAAGAGTAAAGTAAAAGAGATAAGGATTTAATACTCTAGCATGGACTTAGAAATGTGGGCCTGCAACTTGCAAGACGTGTAAGTTACATTCATGTGTTACCAGCCCTCCTGACTTGATGGGAGTAAAACATTGTTTCAGACGCTGATGTACATCCATGTTGAAAATATCAGGATTGTCGCATTATTCGAAATTAGATTTGAAAGTCATTGGGTCCTTGTCATAAAACAGTTAAAAACAGTTTAGGGGGTCCCGGAATTCATATACTTCAAGACACTTCAAAGACCCATGGACTGCATCAGTTTCAACCACTGTTGTCTGTTGTAGATCTGTATCTGAAGAGAGGGGTGTAGCTGTGTGATGAAACACAAACTTAAAAACCTCTTACATTTGTAGAAAATCCTCCTAGTTCAGACAAAAATATAATTTGACATCAATCAATCTGTTAAGAGATGTAAATGTTTTGTTTTTTGTATATTCACCATTGTTGTATTATGACCTTTAATACAATAAACTTGATTGATTGATTGATGTAAACCCTATGAAACAATATGTTTTGTCCTATGTGATACATATTGATGCTGAATGTAAACAAATATTTTTTTTATTGTAGTTAGAATATTGTATTAATCCAACCCTCCCAAAATGGCGGTAATATGTATCTTATTAACATCAGTTTTTTTATCAGGTTTGAAATATGTCTTTTTCTGTTGGCAGGTCGCAACCAAAGCTATCGCAATGCCTTCCAGTCGTACCAGGAGTGGGACAAGACATATGACTACACCATCAGCAGCGACTCTGACGATGACACTGATGACACGGATGATCAGAAAGATGCTCAAGGTAGGCATAGGCAGGAGTAGACTCCAGGAGTTAAATCTACATAATTCACAGCTCATCTCAGACTAGTGGTTTCCTGTATTACTAGATTCTGAGAGGAAGCAACTTGTCCTTCCTGTGTTTACTAGTGTTGGACAGGTGGACTACTAGGGCTGGGAAGATACACCAACTGTGTGATCACATACGTATCATGATAACTTGCTCAAAATGCGATACATATTGCTATACTTGAATGTATTCTTATCTGTGGTGCGTACAAATAGGAAGGCCAAATACCTGCCAAACTGTTGATTTTCTCTTTTAACTCTTTCAACACCTAACAAGACATCACAAGTCTCCCAAAACTGCAGGCCGTTTTATCATGTCAAAATTATATATTATAGGATGGGAGTTTTTGCTTAATTTAGTTAATGTATGAAACAATGAGAAATCAAGTTAGATGAATTTGTCAGATGGAAAACCTGCGGGGCATTAACCATTAGGGATTAAGATTTTTATCCGACATCAAACTTTGGAACTGGTCCCTTACAGCAGCTCAGTAAGCCAATGTTAAAGTTTTCAAACGTGAACAAGTTGATGCCTGACATGCATACCACCACTGGGTGGCGGATGGACGGATATGGAATATTTATCAGGTTGCAGTTATTTAATCAGAATCAAAATCCAGAATTATACGATGTCTCATTCCATATCAGCACGTGGATAATAGACTAAAAGATAAAAAGAATAAAAAGTAGTACCGGTGACCAATGAAATGCCTAGTTATTGATAGAAAAACTGTAATTCCTGAGAGCATTACAGAACTTTTATACCGGGTACTTTCTATCTGGCTTACCTTGTGGTTAAGTAGGATAATACTGTAATTACCCCCAATGCTTTTACTGGTCAGTTCACCGGTACAACTGAGGTACACATACTTGAGAGCTGTTATTCTTGAATAATGATTTTTGTCGTGAATCCTTAGTCAGTCTCTTCTTGAGGTCTGTGCTCCCTTCCACAAGATTAAAATAACCTTGGAAGCAGTTTATCATATGATGAAACAAGACAATTAAAAGTATCTGTTCGTGTTGCTGCAGTAATACATTTACTGCATGCCTAATATTGAGACTTTGAGAACTTTTTCAATCAGGAGACAATTTTCAGTCTTAGAATTTCCAACAAATAGTTTTCTCATGTTTGATGACAACTCAGTGACATTTCCACATATGAAGCAAATGCAGCTTTTAGATTTTGGAGAAATATGTGATAATTTAGATATCTTTGTAGGAGTTTTTGTAAGATCATGTGGACTCAAAAACTGATGCACAGGATCACTTACTGTGACAAAGACACTGGAAATCAGATACTGCCCCCAGTAAGGGGGTCAGCAGGGCCACACTGGGGAGTGAAGGAGGGATGCCAAAGGAGGAGGGAGGTGGCAGGGAGTGGTCAGACATATGTCAGCTGAGTAGCAGTGGCATGTTAACAGAAATGAAGGTTGACATTGACAAGATTACAGAAATTGGAACAAATAAATTAGAGGATTTCAGATTTGGTTAGTCCCTGAAATTAAGCATTGTTCTGGGCTCCATTAGTCTGTCTTACAGACTCTGATACAAATATATCCAATACAGCCCATGCAAGTCTATAATGTTTGGCAAAATTATGTACAATATGTTCTTTTCAGAGACTAGATGTTAGTCTAGGGCTCCATTTGAATTTTACTTTTTATTTTGAGGATGTATATTTTAAAATGAGATAACTTTAGTCTAGGATAAACCCTGTAATTTATTGTAACTCACTGAAATTTTGTATTTTGTATACTGTATTAGTGAGATGAAAACCTTTTTAAAAAACAATCGTTGCAAAAATATTGTCATCTGAGTTCCTGTACTAACTGATCTACTTTTCTGCAGTCGAACCAGCTGAACAGGGGGGTTGAGTGTTCACACAATGCACAAAGGGAGACAACTCTTAATGTCTCGTCGCTCCTGCTACTAATAGAAACAGCTAGGCATGATGATAGAACAAATGATAGGTTCTAGGGCTGGGACGGGTAACTCGGGTACTAGGGTCGGGTGGGTACTGAGTAGGACCCGGGTACCCACAGGACTGCCCGGACCCGTGGTTAGTCACGTGATACATTGTTTAATGGCAAAAATTATCTTAAACACTATGGTTTCACTACAAGTCACTAATGTTCCCATTTCTTTCTGACTATGCAACCATTCCTTCTGACTTTTATATGTTTGAATAAAGATAAAACTTCATGCAGTAAACTTCATACCTGCTCAGTGATATCTGCTTAATAAAAGAACAACAGACACAAACTTTAGACAGACTTAGCAAACACTTCACCATCCCAAGATTTATTTAGCTGCAGGCTTTTCAATAAATAGCTCAGACTATTTGTCTGTAACAGACAATATTGCATCATTTTCACAGTCTGTTTGGTCAAGTACTCTCAGCTTATAATAACCTACAACGTCTGCTTAAAAATGATGCCAAAAATCAAGTTCAAACAACTATACTCAAAGATGTTGGTGAAGACTGTTGTCAGTAGATTCTCATGTTGATATATGGAGCTGAGTGGATTAGACCAAACAAAAGTTTACTTGACTGGGGCTGCGGAATAGTGGCTGAAGCTAAAGACTGGTTTAGTATTTATCTTGTAGAATGAGTTTGAATTTTTTTTCATATATCTTGCTTTATTGTATACTTCTATTGTGCTGGAAAAGGTTTAACATGAGCATTGTTTGCTTGTTAATCAATCCAGTTTTCTGGAATAAATGAAATATCTTTCGAAGATATCTGCAAAGTTTTGTAGGACAAATTATGAACAACCCTTAATATGTTTTAATACATAACAGTGTTCCAAATTAAGCATGGAAGTCTGTCATAACCCGAATGTTAAATTTAGAGGGTCCATAGATTCAAATACCAAAGGAGGACACTTCAAGGGCCCCAACACCCCCTTAACTTTGAACACTGTATATCACACCTACCTACCAACCAACACCATAGTTTGGTATTAAGTGCTGCTATGAAATGCATCGCTGATCAATATGTGTTGTATATACATTAATACAGAAGCCATGCTCCTAACTAAGTACAGTGCTATGTACAACTCCTCATATAAACACACTGACAGGTTACTTACTCATAGGCTCTTAAGCTCCCCGTCAAAGAACTCAGCTACCCTAGCTAGCAGAAAATTCAGATTAATATCTACAAATATCTCATTACATAAATGTAAGACTTAGGCTGGAAAGTAATCCATATGTTGGAAATTGTTGTACCATGAGGTTGAGGGGCGTTGAGTTTACTGTTATCACCTAGACTGCCAGTATGGATATGGACCCGTATAGAGACAAAATTTCCCAATTTTGTTTGGATCCTGATTATTTTAATTTGCTGACGTTGAGATTGCAGGATTCAGGTAAGATGTGAAGATTTGTGTGAAGATTTCAGAATGGTGCAGATTTCGTTATGTTTGATTCTAGTTATTAATAGTTCTTATTGAGTACATGTATTATGATCATTATGAATAACTGATGACAAAAAAGAAATTCCATGAAAATATGTATGATTTCTTTTGAAGTATATATCATTAGCATGTTTAAGCAGTTATTATTCAAAATGGAAGTGTGTAGATTCGATACCTTTGTAAGGTATTTGTGCAGAAAAAGGTTATTTGAGTCAAAAAAATTTAACTTCATGTTTTCATTATCAGGGAGGTACTCTTTTGGTTATGAGCTCTACAATGTCAATATGTAAACATTAAACTTATTTCTATATTTTAAAAAAGTGACAAATTGTTAAATAGTTGAAAAGAGAGTGTACAATAATTTTACATATCTAAAAATAATTTAATGTTATTGTAAGATCCTACCACTGATGGATTAAAGACACTTTTGATTTAAAGTCTCAAATATACCAAGGTTCAAAATGTGTTTATTCATTTGAACTGTTATGACTCATATTCTTATTTATCTGAAATAGAAAGAAAATACAGAGTTTAATCAAACACAATGTTGTTGTAAATACAGACCTCTCGCAGTGATGACAGCAACTGGTTGCCATGCATTTCAAGTGGATGTCTTTCACTAGTTATTCAATAGAATGTTTGTCCATTATTTACATTGTAAACCAACCTTACATCAGGCATCTATCTATCAGTGTCCCAACCACACAACACAAGCCACACAATGAGAGTCATAGTCTGCACCATGGAGAGACTTCATTGACTGGTAGCATTTAGTGGCTGTCAAAACCTACCACACACTTACCCGTGGCTGAGAAACACGGCAACGTCTCTGATTTTGACATTGACATATAGGCAGACGTTGTTCTTTAGGAGACTATATCTTTTGAATAAACAGGAGGTTAAAATACTGATTTTTTCTTTTCCATTTTCAAGTCTCTAAATTCAGATTTGTCTTTGAGAATTTTATCGTGAAGGATAAAAGGACATGTGTGCTTTCATGTTGAATTAGGCATGCCTTTGTAGCTTTTGCTGGTTGGAACTTTGGTGCTGTCAGAAGTTTTTTAATGGGGCAGCATTTTAATTTTTAAGGATTTTGTGGAGAAGATTGGAAAATTAAAACAAATATATGTTATCAGGGTTGTCCTTAACAATCTTTCTTGAAAAAAATAAGTACAAACAAGTCTTTTGAAAAAAGTCTTTTGAGTCCATCCACAAGCCCAAACATGACACTTGGCATTATTTTCAGTAGATATTTATGTTAGAATATGGACTGAATCACAGACTGAAAGATGTCCAAAATAAGCATATTTTCAATGAATCCAAGCATCATAATATAATTTTTTGTTCCTTGTGTCTCAGTCAGATTTGTCTGTACAGTGGGACATGTGGCCTGGCCTCGAGTTGCATGGTTATCATGGCTCTCTGTTTGAAGCATAGCTAATCACAGTCTGTCTTAGGTTTCATCTTTATGAGGAGGTATCAGTGTTACCCAAATAATACCGCAATACCCAAATGGTATCTACTTTCTTTTCATGAC